CCAGCAACCATATGACACTGTACCACACTATCACAATATTCCCTATGCTATACATTACATCCTCATGACTTACTTGTTTTGTACCTGGAAATATGAACCTTTTATTTCGCTTCACATCCCCCCCCCCTTTTTTAATTTTTCAATTACAGTTGACATTCAATATTATTTTATATTAATTTCAGGTGTACATCATCGTGGTTAGACACTTTATAATTTAGGAAGTGATCTCTGTGACTAATCTAGTACCCACCTGGCACTATACCATACATAGTTATTGCCATATTATTGACTGTATTTCCTGTCCTTTACTTTATATCCCCATGACTATTTTGTAACTACAAATTTGTACTTCTTAATACCTTTACCTTTTTCACCTTGCCTCCCAAACCCCTACCATATACCACCCCAATAAAACTAGTACCCACTTGACACCATATATAGTTATTACAATATTATTGACTATATTCCTTATGCTATACCCTACATCCCCATAATTACTGTGTAATAACCAATATGTACTTCTTAATCCCTCCCCCTTTTTGACCCATCCCTTTCCCCTTGCCATCTGACAACCATCAAAATAGTCTCTATATTTATGAGTTTGTTTCTGTTTTGCTTGTTAACTTTGTTCTTTAGATTCCACATATAAGCAAAATCACATTGCATCTGTCTTTCTCTGTCTGACATACTTCACTTAGCAGAATACCCTCTAGGTCCATTCTTGCTGCCACAGATGGCAAGAACCCATTCTCTTCTCTAGCTGAGCAATATTACATTGCTTCATCTCCTCTTTATACACTCATCCATCAACGGACACCCAGGTTGCCTCCATATCTTGGCCATTGTAAACAATGCTTCAATGAACATATACATGTACACATCCCCTCAAAGTAGCATTTTAGGTTTCTTCAGAATAAATACCCAAAAGTGGGATTACTGGGTTCTTCTTTGTCTCTTGTTATAGCCTTTGTTTTAAAGTCTGTTTTGTCTGGTATAAGTATTGCTACACAGCTTTTGTTTGTTTGTTTGTTTCCATTTTCATGAAATATCTTTTTCCACTCCTTTACTTTCAGTCTGTGAGTGCCTGTTGAGCTGAAATGAATCTCTTGTAGGCAACATATGTTTGTGTCTTGTTTTCTTCTCAATTCAGCCAGCCTATCTTTTGATTGTAGCATTTAATTTATTTACATTGAAAGTAATTGTTGATAGATCTGTAGTTATTGTCATTATTCATATTTTTGGTCTTTTTGTCATTGTTCTTCTTAAAGAAGCCCCTCTAAGATACCTTGTAATCCTGGTTTTGTGGTGAAGAACTCAGCTTTTTCTTGTCTGGTAAGCTGTTTATCTGTCCTTTGATTCTAAGTGATAGCTTTCCTGAGTAGAGTAATCTTGGTTGTATGTACTTGCTTTTCATCACTTTGACTATTTCATGCCAATCCCTTCTGGCCTGCAAAATTTCTGTTGATAAATCAATTGACAGTCTTATGGAAGCTCCCTTATAGGGAACTAATTGCTTTTCTCTTGCTGCTTTTAAGATTCTTTCTTTACCTTTAACATTTGACATTTTAATTATGATGTGTCCTGGTGTGGGCATCTTTGGGTTCACATTGTTTGGGACTCTCTGTGCTTCCTGGGCTTGTATATCTATTTCATTCACTAAGCTAGGGAAGTTTTCCATCATTATTTCTTCAACTAGGTTTTTGATTTCTTGCTCTTTCACTTTTTCTTCTGGTACTCCTATAATGTGAAGGTTGATATGCTTGATGCTGTCCCAGATGCTCCTTAAACTATCTTCATTCTGTTTGTATTCTTTTTTCTTTTTGCTGTTCTAATTGGGTGTTTTCTGCTACCTTATCTTCTAAACCACTCTACATTTAATCTAATGTTGATTCCCTGTAATATATTTTTCATTTCAATTACTGTATTCTTTTTTCCAGACTTTTTTTTCTATGTTTTCTATCTCCATTTTTATGATTCCTATCTCTTTGTTGAAGTTCTCCCTGAGATTATTGGGCATCCTTATAACCAGTGTTTTGAAGTCTGTCTGGTAGATTGCTTATCTCCATTTTGTTTAGTTCTTTTTTCTGGAGCTTTGTTCTGTTCTTTCATTTGGGACATGTTTCTTTGTCTCCCCATTTTGGCTGCCTGTGTTTAATTCTATGTGTTAGGTAGGGCTGCTATGCCTCCCATTCTTAGTAGAGTGGTGTTATGTAGTAGTTGTGCTGTGGGGCTCAGTGGCACAGTCTTCCTGGTCACCTGAACCAGGTATTCCAGGTGTGTACCTTGTGTGGGTCATGTGTGCTCTCCTGTTGTAGTTGAACCCTGGTTACTGTTTGCACATTAATGGGAAGGATTGATCCTCGGGCTGATTGGTTGTGAGGACTGGTCATGACTACAGTGGGTGCAGGGGCTGACCCCTCAGAGCAGGATTTGCTTTAGCAAGACTCTGGTGCCTGACTCCCTTTGGGTGTGTCATCCCAAGAGGCTGCTGGATGATGATTCGGCTGAGTCCAAAGCTGGCCACTGGGTGTGCCAGCTGAGAGTCTTCCTGGGAGGGGTCTCACCACAGGCCAAGTTCAACTGTAGCCAGTGCCTTGCCTGGGGCCACTTGGCATGTGCCACAAAGCAATCTACAGGTGGCTGCCACTTGCTCTGGGCTTGGGGGTGCATCAAGAGGTGAAGCTTCACACTGTCACCAGCTGTCACTACTGCTGGGCTTATGGTTGTTCAACCAGAGGTATGAGCATGCCAAAGCCAGATGCTGCTTGTTTGGGTTTTGTGAAACTTTGAGAGATTTTAGGACAGTTTGCAGCATGAGCCAAGACAAGCTGTTTATACAAAAAAAGCCACTGGAAGCAGCTTTGGTGGGCCTGGAAGGGGTGGAGCAGGGTCTCATGGAATGAGGGAAAATGAACAATATTAACCAGGTTGATGGAAACTCAGATATGAGTCTGCATGAAGGGAGGGGGAGGACTCAACCAAGAAACAATGGTTTCCACCAGTTCTTCCATTCAGAAAAAAGCTGTCCCTCCAGCCAGACAATTCAGTTCCAACCCCTATGTCCCTGGTGCCTTTTGAGCTGCTGCCCCAGTGCTGGAGCTCAGAGTGAGTGGGTTCATCAGTGAGTAAGTCCATGTGCAGGCCCTTTAAGAGGAGCACTTGGAACTTTAGCTGCCCTCTGTTTCACTCAGCCACAATCTCCATTGGTTTTCACAGACAGAAGCTGTAGGGAATTCTCTTCTGGAACCCTGGGCTGGGGAGCCTGGTGTGGGGCTGGGACACCTTGCTTCTCTGGGGGGGGTGGACTTCTGCAGCCAAGATATCCCTCCTGATTTTTAATGGTCACCCACGGGTGTGGAACCAGCCCATTCCACATCTCTGCCCCTCCTACCAGTCTCGGGGTGGCTTCTTCTGTATGTCCTTAGTTGTAGGGCTTTGGTTCAGACAATTCTCAGTGGTGATTGTTCTATAATTTAGTTGTAATTTTGATATGGTGGTGCAATGAGGTAAGCACAGCGTTTATCTACATGCCATCTTGATTGGATTTGTGAATAAGCTCTTTTATCATTATATAATGCCCCTATGCCTCTGCTAATTTTCTTTGTTCTGAAGTTTATCTGATATTAACAGCCACTCCTGATTTCTTTTGATTAATATTTGCATGACATATGTTTTTCGTTCTTTTACTTTCAACTGCCAATACTGTTATTTGAAGTGAGGGTCTTATAGGCAGCATAAAAGTAGGTCATATGAATATATATATATATATATATATATATATATATGGTATAAATATACCAGTATAAATATAGACAGTATAAATATACCAAATAAAAGACAGATTGGTAAACTGGAATAGATAGATAGATAGATAGATAGATAGATAGATAGATAGATATAGATATAGATATAGATATAGATATATATAGATAGATAGATAGATAGATAGATTTATATATGTGTACCTATATATTTTTCCAGCTTGCCAATCTGTCTTTCAATTGGCATATTTATACTGTTTATATCTAATGTAATTATTTATTTGTTGGGGACAAGTCTGACATTTTCTTTTATTTTTCTGTTTGTATTATCTATTATTTTTGCCTTTCTATTGGTTATCTGAATACTCCTTAGAATTCTATTTTGATTTACTTCTGGTTTTTTGAGTGTATCTCTTTGTATAGCTTTTTAGTGACTACTCTAGGTACATTATACCCATATTACCACAGTGTATTGGCATCATCGTTTTACCAGTTCAAGTGAAGTGTGGAAGCCTCACTACCTTTATGTCCCTTTACCCTCCCCAACTTATATAATTATCTTTAAAAATTCCTCTACATCCATTTAGAACCACATCAGACAGTGTTATAGCTTTTGTTTCAACCATCAAATATAACTAAGACTCAAAAAGAGACGAAAAATCTATTATATTTACCCATATTTTTGTTTATTGTGTTCTTTGTTCTTTTCTGATGTTCCAAGGATCTTTTTTTTCTTATTAATTCTTTTCTGTTTAGAGAGTTTCTAAAGTAGGTCTGTTAGCAACAAATTCTCTTAGTTTTCCGTCATCTGAGAATGTCTTATTTGTTCCTTAATCAGAAGGATATTTTTGCTAGATATAGGACTCTTGGTTCATCTTTTCTTTCAGCACTTGAAAAATGTTGTGCCACGTCCTCCTGTCTTCCATAGATTCCGATCAGAAATCTGCTGTCCAGGAGATTTAGGCTGCAGTGTTACAGGGCACTCTTGTCAACATGAGCACTAGGCCAAAGCCCCCAGTGTTTGAGGCTTCAGCTTCAATCAAATAAATTAATGTTTATTCTGCATTTAAAAAATTTATCATGAAATGTAATAGAGCATATAATAAAGACTTAGATAATACTATTTTTTTTACTCCAGTTTCAAAGAAAAGCTAGTATTTCTCCGTTTCCATTAAAACCTGGAAAGATGTAAGCGGTGAGCAGGAAGTAACTCTTTGTGTCTGTTTCTTTTTAATCCAGCACGGAGAGAAAACTTATGTCTTTGCCTCCTTCTACCTCCATATCAGAAATGGAACCCAACGGCAACTTCAGCAATAACAATAGCCACAGGAACTGCACAACTGAAAACTTCAAGAGGGAGTTTTATCCTATTGTGTACCTGATAATATTTGTCTGGGGAACCTTGGGAAATGGTTTTTCTATATATGTTTTTCTGCAGCCTCATAAGAAGTCCACATCTGTGAATGTTTTCATGCTAAACCTGGCCATTTCAGATCTCTTGTTCACAACCACACTGCCCTTCAGGGCTGACTATTACCTGAGAGGCTCCAATTGGATATTTGGGGACGTGGCCTGCAGGGTTATGTCTTATTCCATGTATGTCAACATGTACAGCAGCATTTATTTCCTGACTGTGCTGAGCGTTATGCGCTTCCTGGCAACTGTTCACCCCTTCCGGCATCTCCACGTCACCAGCATCAGAAGTGCCTGGGTTGTGTGTGGGATCATATGGATCTTTATCACGGCTTCTTCAACAACACTTCTGAACAATGGCTCTGAGCAAGAGGGTAATGTCACATCATGCTTAGAGCTGAAATTCAATAAACTTTTTAAACTGAAGATCATGAACCACATCGCCTTGGTGATAGGCTTCCTACTGCCATTCTGTACGCTCAACATCTGTTACCTGCTGATGATTCGCGCCCTGTTAAAGGTGGAGGTGCCAAAATTGGGGCTGCGGGTTTCTCACAAGAAGGCGCTGACCACCATCATCATTGCCTTGATCATCTTCCTCCTTTGTTTCCTGCCCTATCATGTACTGAGAACCTTCCACCTGGCTGTGTGGAAAGTGGGTACATGCAGAGACAGGCTGCATAAAGCCGTGATCATCACACTGGCCTTGGCGGCTTCTAACACCTGCCTCAACCCTTTGCTTTATTACTTTGCTGGGGAGAATTTTAAGGACAGACTAAGGTCTGCACTCAGAAAAGGTGATCCACAGAAGACAAAGTGCAGCTTTCCTGTCTGTGTGTGATCGAAAAGGGAAACAAGAATGTGAAGGGTTATTAGGTGAAGCCTGTTCTTGTATTCCTGGGTCCACCTTCATTCACACAGTCTCCAAATGATCATGTGTTTACACCATTCCCAGCAAAGTTCTATTCCCAACATTTACTTGACCATGATTTTTGTTAATAAGATCTACTTCAAACATTTCATTAAATGTATTTTCAATGGTTAAGTCTAAATGAGGAGCATAGCAGGAAAATTCCATACCACAGAGTCTTGCAACCTGAAGTGTCAGATTGGGGGAAAACGTCCAGCAAGCAGAATGGGTGCAACTTTTCATCAGATTCTGTATCAGATCTCTGACCCAACAGGCATTCTAAATTCTTAACTTTAAGATAACTCCAACATCTCTAGCTTCTCCAGTTCCTCTTCGCTTGTCAATCCCCTGACATAAAGCCAATTAAAGCTGCTGGAGACGGCCAGAGCAGATAAGAAAAGCATTCTAAGAATTCAAGGGAAAGACCTTGATGGTAAAGAGAAAAGCATGGTCAAGGTCCCAAATGAAAGCAGTGAAAGAAAAGGAGAGAGAAGGACTAGGGCAAGAAAGAGCTAGTGAGAAAGAGGGGAAAGGAGGAATTTCATTTTGCACTGGGAAAGGGGCTCTACCACATGGAAGGCAAGAAGGTTCCTTTTGCCTCTCTCTTGCCCGGGGGTTAAGAAGGACAGGAAGAGTAGGAAGATGACCTGGGGCATTGCCCCTAGGGGACTAAAAGGATTATGTGTACAATGGAGAAGGGAGCTCAAGTTCACTCTTGAGATTTGGGTTTAGACCGGCTTGACTGCATTTCTTAGTCTTGCATGTTAATTCATTGAGATGGGTCCAGAACAGAGGAGTTGCCTCTAAGGGTTTGGATGGGCACTCAGAAAGAGAGTAGGGTGGATGACAAGTTGAGAAGTCTTTTATACCCCTGAAATTCTATTAACATTTTGGCAGAACATAAGTAGAGTAGCTTTCCTTTTGAGAGAGTGTAGGAAATCACTGGATAGTAGGAAGGGATCCTTTCTGTTCATTGAAACAAGGCTAAGGAGACTACCACCATGACCTTTGTATTGCCAAGAACTGAGTGTCCTCTTCATGCCAGGCAGACTGCGCCAGGCACTTCATGTTTATTGACCCCATTTAAACCTTACATCAATGCCTGGTGTTTCCATTTTACTGATGAAGACACTGAAGCTCAAAGAAATTACAAAACTTGTTCAAGTTCACAGAACTCATGAGAGTTTTAAGAACCTCTGTGAAGAAGGGTTGGCTGGGTGCAACCCCAACTGTATCCCCTGAAAACCTCCACAAATATTGGTTGAAAGTCAGAATAAAAGTTCCCTTCCCCCACCAGGCACCTACCCCTCCTTGGGTATATAGCAGAAAAACAAGAAACTAATTGATTTGCACACATTGGAGAGATTTATAATTTTCTTGGACAGCTTAGGGATAAACTAGTGAAAATACATAGTAAAATAAGCAAGGGAAAAGACAATGCAATTATTAAATACTAGGGAAAAAGAAACTGTTCTTTAAGAAAGGGAATAGTACACTACATGGCTTAGCTTGAATAACATTTACCTAGAGAATAATGTAAATAGCAAGGACTATGATGTAATTTTTTTTTAAGAAATGAGGGGAGAGGATTTGTATGTGGGGGAGGAGGGGTGTAACAAATGTAGGTCCTCATCTTCCATCACAGAAAATGCATAACTAGAGAACAGTGAATAGCGGTATAAAAATCTTATTTAGCAATAGGAGCTAAAGCCCAGAAAAAACAGTGAAAAAACTGATAGAGATTGCCTCTGGAGAGAAGTTGTGGGTGAAAAAATAGGGTGGGGATTTCTCTTTTCCTTTCAAAAACTATTTAACTGCCTAATTTGTGAATATATGTTGCTGAAATAAAATAAAAAATAAGTTAAAATAAAAATTTTAAATTCAAATTAATTCTCTGGTTTTTTAAAAAAATGAAGAAGAAAAGAAAAGCCACCAGAAATGGAAATTGAATGCTGACATAAGAAAGAAAAGCAGAAAAGGGCTAGACTTGGACCTGGGACCCTGCGGGATGTCCACACAGCCTTGTTATTGGAGAGGCATCCCCTTTTGGGGTGAGGAGCATCACTTCCTGGGGTCAGAGGTGATTCGGTATGTCAGGGTATTTTTTAGTTGCAAGTAACAAAAAAAAACAACTCCAAGTGGTTTAAACAATCATTATCTCACATAACTGAAACATACAAAAGCAAGTTGGACTTCAGGTTCTATTCAAACAGTGTTCTGTGAGACTCCCTCTCCTGTGAGCCTCTCCCTCCAAGTATTGGGTTAGTTCCGTGGCGTAATCCCCTCATGGGAACGGGCTGACTGCAAGCAGCATGAGGCTACATGCTTCTTTACTTGTATCCAAGAGAAGAAACAGGATATCTCCTGCACAAGTTAATTAACACAAGTCATAGGCTTCCTTTTGATCAGACCTACTCAGATTACACAGTGGCTCCTAAACTAACCAAGGAAGAAGGGATTGCTCTGATCCAATGAGGATGATCACAGTCTACACCTGGAGTTGGGATTGGAGTTAAACCATTGAAATCTCTCTCAGCTGGGAGAAGGGAGAAATGGGGCTTGCAGAATCCACTCGTGGCACTGTAATGAGGTGGAAAAAGAGCTGCCAGCCAGTCGGTCATCCAAGTCTGGTGTGGCCTGTACCTAAGCAGCAGGCTCAGAAGTTGAGGAGGGTGGAAGGAACCATGTACTTGAGGAAGAAAGGTGGCAGCTAAAATATGAGTTTACATTGTAAAGTTATAGGGATTTTCATATGGCAACTAGAAATCTTAGCAATTCTCAAGGGTAATCTATCCCAGATAAAGCTGGGAATAACTTAGAGCAGCCAAGGTCCTTGGGATAAGCAGTAATACAGGGGTTATTAGTTATTAATATCTTGAAGTCTATGGTGTGTGTGTATGTGTATGTGTGTGTGTGTGTGTTTGTGTGAGAGAGAGAGAGAGAGAGAGAGAGAGAGAGAGAGAGACAGAGAGAGAGAGAGACAGAGAGAGAAGTTAATAACTTATTTTTAATTTTTCCAAGACTTTTCCTTTTTATTTTTCTTTACTTTTTTAAAAATAATTTTTTATTTTTAATTACAGTTGACATGCAATATTATATTAGTTTGAATACAATATAGTGATTAGACATTTGTATAACTTATGAAGTGATCACCCTGATAATTCTAGTACCCATCCAATACAATATATAGTTATTACAATATTACTGACTGTATCCCTAAGCTGTACTTTACATCCCCATGACTGTTTTTATAATTGGCAATTTGCACATCTTAATTCCTTCTCCCTTTTTACACCCCCTCAACTTCCTTCCCATCTGACAACCATCAAAATGTTCTCTGTATCTATGAGTTTGTTTCTGTTTTGTTTCTGTGCTTTTTAGATCCCATATCTAAGTGAAATCATATGGCATTTTTCTTTCTTTTATTTCACTTAGCATAATACCCTCTAGGTCCATCCATGTTGTCCCCAGTGACAAGTCTGCTCTTCCTGGACTTGTATGTTTATTTCCTTCACCAGGTTAAGGAAGTTTTCCACCACTATTTTTTAAATAGACTTTCTTTTTTTTTTTTTTAAAGATTTTATTGGGGAATCAGGGAAGGGGAACAGAAAAGTTGCTGTCTTTTTGTTCTTCAGTCTAGTTGTGGAGGACATCACTTCAATGGCTCATGTTGGCATTATCATTGCGCTCTTCCCAGCTGAGGCATATCGGTTGCTGGCCACTGGACGGCCGCTCACAGAAGCTCATGAAAGCTCACGCCTGCTGCTGGCCAGCCCCACTGCAGCCTACGCCATCACCGGCGACTCACGGCAGCCCAGGTCCAGGACAAGCTGTTGTTCACTATATTAGCTGTAGAGGGTGCAGTGTCACTGGCACTCATGTGGGATCTGAACCGGGGCCCTGCTGCTCAGAGCCCGTGCTCCCAAGCCAACTCCTAACCACGTGCCACTCGGCCAGCCCTCTAATGTATTCTTTATTTCAGCTATTGTGTACTTCACTTCTGACTGGCTCTCTTTAAGTTTTCTATCTCAATTTTTATGTTTCCTACCTCCTTCTTAAAGTTCTCACTGAATTAATCTACTCTTCCCCTAAGTTCAATAAGCATCCTTATGACCAATGTTTTGCACTCTGCATCTGGTAGCCTGATTGCCTTCATTTCATTTATTGGGTTGTTGGAAAAGTCATGACATATTTTGTCTACATTTTTCAAAGGTCATTTATTTATATAAAGAACAAAGATGAATCAATGATATATTGCCCATTTTGTTCAATAACCTTTTGCCACCTTTCAGTGAGCTTCATAATTCCTCTTTCATAGAAGGACCTGTCTTTATTTGCAAAAAACTGAACAAGGTGCTGATTTACAGTCTCATCTGAATTGAACATTATACCATGCAAGGACTTTTGAAGAGAGCGAAACAAGTGGAAGTCTGATGGCTCAAGGTCAGGCCAGTATGGTGGGTGTGACAACACATTCCATCCAAGCTCCAATAATTTTTGATGGGTGATCAAACTTGTGTGTGGTCTTTCATTGTCGCGATAGAACACAACTGCTTTACAATTAACAAGCTCCGGCTGTTTCTGGATGATGTATTCGTTCAAACTGTCCAATTGCTGACAGTACACATTCAAATTGATTGTTTGGTTTGTTGGTAGGTGCTCGAAAAACACGACATCTTTAAAATCCCACCACACTGAGAGCATAACCTTCCTCTGATGAATGTCTGCTTTCAATGTCGTTTGAGGCAAACCATCACGTCGAGACAAGACCGTTTGTGCACCACATTGTAGTAAACAATCCACTTCTCATCACCAGTTATCAGTCGCTTCAAAAAATAACTTTTTCCCTTACATTTAATGAGCATATTGCAGATGTTTATATGTGCCATCAAATGAACTTCTTTGAGTTCATGCGGAACCCAAATATCAAGCTTGCTTACGTATCCCAGCTTCTTCAGGTGGTCGTGAACACTTGAATGATGGATGTTCAATGTTTCTGCAATCTCTTGTGTCGTGTAACATGGGTTTGACTCTATCAATGCCTTTATTTTGTCACTATCAATCTCAGTGTGCCTCCCTGATCGAGGAGCATCGCTGAGATCAAAATCACCAGCACGGAATTTCGTGAACCACTGTTGACACTGACATTCCTATAGAGCATTGTCACCGTAAACTTTACACAACTTTTCACAAGCTTGATGTGCATTCTTCTCTTTATGGAAGTAAAACAGTAAAATATGGCAAAAATGCACAGCTTGGTCTTCCATCTTCAACTTGTAAAATCTCCAAAACTCAACCAAATCGCTCAATTTTTTTTAGAATGAACCTAGAACTGTCAGCTGTCATATGACATAGCAATACACAGATGCGAATGACTCTAGTACTTCCAAAAATGAACTAGTGCCATCTGTTGCAAACATGCATCATTACTTTTCTGACAACCCAATAGTTCTTTTCTGAAGTTCCATTCTGTTCTTTCATTTGGGACATGTTTCTTTGTCTCCTCATTGTGGCTACCTCTCTGTGTTTGTTACTATGTATTAGGTACAGCTGTTATGTCTCCCAGTTTTGGTAGAGTGGCTTTATGTAGTAGGTGTCTTGTGGAGCCCAGTGGTGCAGTCTCTTTGGTCACCTGAACTAGGTGCTCCAGGTGTGTCCCTTGTGTGAGTTGTGTGTGCCCTCCTCTTTTATTTGAGCCTTAGTTGCTGTTGGCACATCAGTGGGAGGAATTAATGCTCAAGCTGATTGGCTATGAGGACTGGCCATGACTAGAGTGAAGGAACTGTTGTGCTGGGGGTGATTTCATAGAGCAGGATTCCCTTCAGTGGAGCTCTGGTTCCTGCTGAGTCTGCCCTTTGGGTGTGTAGTTTGTGGAGGTGGTTAGGTGATGCTCTGGTGAGGTCTGAAGCTGGCCATCAGGTGTATTGGTTCTGGTGCCTTTTGGGAGGGACTCTGGTGCAGGCAAAGGTCAGCTGCTACCTATGCTTTGCCAGGGACCACCTGGTAGGAGCTACAAAGTGATCTGCAGATGGTTGCTGCTTGTGCTGGGCTTGGAGGTGCCTGGGAGAGGCTAAACTGCGAACCAAGGCTGGCTGTCACTAGTGCCAGTATTCAGGCCACTTAGCAAGAGATATGAGTCCTGCTAAGGCCAGATGTTACTAGTTTGGGATTTATGAAGCTTTAAAGGAGATTTTAGGAAAGTCTGCAGCATGAGCCAAGACTGTCTGTTTATATCAAAAAGCCGCTGGAATCAGCTGAGATGGGCCCACAAGTTGGGTGGCTTGAGATCTCAGGGAATCACCAGGGTAGGACAAACAGTGTTAGCCAGGTTGATGAAGACTCAGACAGGCTGGGTGGGAGAAGGGCTCAACAAAGAAACAATGGCTTCTGCCAGCACTTCTGTCTGGGAGGAAGTTGCCCCTTAAGCCCTTGTCCTGATACCAGATAATTCTTTTCCTCCTCTATGTCCCTGGCACCTTTCGAGCTGCTGCCCCAGTGCTGGAGCTCAGAGAGTAAGTCCATGCATGGGCCCTTGAAGAGGAATGACCAGGACTTCAGAAGCCCTCCATCTCACTTAGCCACAATCTCTGCTGGCTTTCACGGCCAGAAGTTATGGGGGGTTCTTTTCCCAGCACTGTAACCTTGGGTTGGGGAGCCTAGTGTGTGGCTGAAATCCCTTGCTCCTTAGAGGGGACCTCCACAGCCAAGAGATCCTCTCTTTTCTTAACTGCCACACCATGAGGGTGGAATCTGCCCAATCTCTGTCTCTGCCCCTCCTACCTGTCTCCAGGTGCCTTCCTTGTACGTTCTTAGTTATAGGAC